CAGTCATCCCCTCCCTTCCTCCTCCCCGCCCCAGCGCAGCAGATCCCTGGCCCAAGTTAGGCTCCCATGGCCTCTGTTTTTTCCATCCAAGTCCTGGCACGGAGGCGCTGTGTTTCCTGTGCTCATAGGAACAGCTCTGGTCACAGGGCCCAGCTGCTTACACATGCCCCATATGCTTCCCCCGCTCTGCACATGGAGCCCTTGCTCCCGCCCCAGGGTGCAGGGCGGCTCCTCCAGGGGCAGGGGCATGCGGGCTGTTCCTCAGGGTGCAGCTCGTTCTGTCTGTCTGAGCTGAGTCCGCCAAGCCAGCGGTCGCGGCCTGTCCAAAACCACTTAAATTCAGGGCAGGGTTTGGATCTCACCGTGAGAGCGCAGGGAGCAAAGCAGCCACGTCCTGGGAGAGCTCAAGTCAAAACCGTGTCCTGGCCCCCGAGGCACCTCCTGCGCCTGCCCTACATGCCTCCCCTCTTGGCTGGTGACCAGGGCCCCTCACAAAGGTGCTTCTGGGCCAGGGCAGGGCAGGGGACACACAGCTGGACAGGTCTGGTGTGCAAGGGCCCCTCCCCAGCCCAGCCTGACTGAGGGCTTCTCCCAGTCTGACTGGAGGGAGCTTTGTGCAGAAGCCATGAGGCTCCGGCGGAGCTGACCCTGGGGGCTTCTCATGAGCAAGAGCCTGGAGAGGCAGCCTTGGCCGGGTGAGAGGGGTTGCCCGTGTTTCAAAGATGCTAAGGTCAGAAGGGACCTATTAGATCATCGAGTCCGACCCCCTGCCTGGGCAGGAATGAGTACTGGGGTCAGATGACCCAGCCAGCGGTTGTGCACACCTGGCTGCCCATGTTGTGTGCGTGTACTCAGCAAAGCCCAGAGCCCTTTCAAGGCTCCAGCAGCACAATCCCTGGGTCCAGCACATGCCCACGGGGGGAGATCACCAGCACAGGGGCATGGGAGGCTGCACAGGAGGGGGCCCCAGTGCTGTGGAGCAGAGGGCAGGTGACAGCACTTTGGCTTGGAGCTGTGCCAGCAAGCCTGTCTGCCTCTCCACTCTGCCACAGGCACTGGCACCTCAGCCCTGACCCCCCAAACCTCCCCATCTCCATTCCAGATGACCCAATCCGCCTGCTGAGAGAGGTGGTGCTGCTGACGGACGACCGGAACCTGCGGGTCAAGGCGCTGACCCGCAACGTGCCCGTGCGGGACATTCCCACCTTCCTGAAGTGGGCCCAGGAGGGTTGAGCGCGTGCGGGCAGGAGAGGCCGAGTGAGTACCGCAGCGCGTGGCCCGTGGGTCCGCGGCGTTTGAGGCAGGCTTTGCGACACGTCGCCTGCCACCCGCCCACCCGTGAACAATAAATGCCACGTCTTCACCCCCTGGGATGGCCGGGCTGCCGTGGGGCAGGCGCGCTGGGAAGGTCGTTGCTGCTGATGGTTCGTACAGAGGCTGGAGCACTGAGGAGGCTCAGGTGAAGCCAAGCAAGTAGGAGCTGTGTCCCAGAAGACTTTAGGGTGAGCTCTGGGGTCAGTCTCGCAGCCTCTGGCTCCTGACGGTTTCCTTGAGGGCAGCGAGTTCACAGCAGAGGCCCGTGTCCCCCTGGTGCTTTACCCTGTGTGTGGGGCGCAGGGGCAAGAGTGACCTGTTGTCCTAGCCCCTCCTAAAGAGCAGGACCCTGCGGACAGGCTGGGGCAGCCCGTGCTAAAGAAGACCCTGGTCTGTGGGGTCAGGCTCTCCCTTGCTGCCAGCATCGCCATCTCACCCCCTTGCTGCTTCTGCTTCCTCGCGGCGCTGCCCTTTCCTTTGGGTCCCAGTCCCCCCGGGGCAGGACAGGGTTGGGCCTGGGCCAGCCCATAGGCTGCCCTTCTTCCTGGCAGCGGAGTCTGCCTGGAGCTGATGAGCGTGGGGCTCCTCTCTCCCTCGGGAGATGCTCTTGCCCCCGCGAGCCCTGGAGCACCGGGGCTCTAGGGCCCTCTGCCCCCAGTCTGCCAAGCAGCATCATCACTGAGGCACCATCACCCTGCAGCTGTTCCTGCCCCTCTGCTGTGTCCCCCCCCCCATGCCAGACACACTCCTGCTCCCTGTCCCAGACCCCTCTGCCACCCCTTTGGGCACTCGGACAGTCGGCTCCGACTGACGTTAGGCTGTAGTGTCGTGGGCATCATGGTGGGGTCACTAGCTGCTGCCCCATGGACCCCGAGGGTGGGGTCAGGCCACATGGGATGCTCTGTTTCCCTGGGGAAGACCCCTATGTCCAGCAGGGAACAGTTAACAGACTGTCCAGCCATGTGCGATGTGGCTGCTGCTCAGGGGACCTTGTTGCCTTGCATGGGAGGTCTGGCACCAATGCCTTATTTCTGCCACCCTGAAGGTTTCCCAGCATGTGGGTCCTGCACCCCAGACCCCCTCATGGGGTAGGAGCTTCCCCGCAGGTGGTTCATCTCCAAGCTGGAGCACACTGCAGGCACAGACATTGCGAGGGGGCTTCAGCCCCTGGCTGCCCTCCGCAGCAGTCACGTAGCACTCCCTGGCCCAGCCCCGGCACGCCCCAGCACTATGGAAGCAGCCAGTCTGGACCCTTGGGGCCTGAGCTGCCCTCCCAGTCCTTCCCTTTCTCTGCTCTCAAGCACAGGGGCCTCTGGGAGAGGCAGCAGCAGGCCTGAGAGCAGCTCTTCTTGCCACTCTGGGCTGGGGCTAAACCGGCTTGAGCAGGGCACTGCTGAGGGTAGTGGGGAGGAGCCCCTGAGGCTGCTCTGCTGGGCAAGGGGCTTGTCTGCTTCATCCGCCAGTGCTGCCTGGGGCCAGGGACGGGACCTGGATCTGTGGCACGTAAGGTGCCCTGGCAGGGTGGGAGGGGCTCTGCTCGCTCAGCCGCTTGCTTTGGAGGAGTCCTGGCCTCCGCTTCACCCGACTTCCTGTCCCCAAGCCCACCCCAGGGGCTGACTAGTCCAGGCAGAGAGGGGCCCCGTGGTCGGGCAACGAGCCCTTGGGCTTCGGGCTCCTGAGTGACAGCTGCTTGGAGGCCACGGCATCTGCTGGGGAGAGCGCGGACAGCGCACATCACCGGTGCATCAAAGGGCACTCGATTCTGGACCACGGCCAGGATCCTGCCCAGCTCAGACCCTGGAGACCGAGGCCTGCGAGGCCGCTGATGGCCAGGCAGCTGGACTTCCACCACAAGGACCTTGCCAGGGGTTCTGCCTGGGACATGCCGGCCCAACACAGCTGCACAGGCCTGCACACCCAGAGCTGCAGCATGGATCCCTTCTCCCCAGGCGGCTGCAGCCGTACAGGATGGCCTTGCAAGAGGACTCAAGGAACAGCCTGCACCATAGAAAGAAAGCCAAGGCCCCCTAGGCTTGTCAGGGCGGGACCAGCTCTGAGCAGGGGCTGCCTCTGGACACTGCTGGCCCCTGGGCCTGGACCCTTCCCTGGAGACAGGGACTGGGCATGCAATTGCTGCTCCCCCGACCTCGTGTTTGCAGCTAGGGAAGGGCGCCCTGACACCAGCCGTGGGTAGTGGCTCTGGCAGCAGGCGTCCAGCTCCTTCGTGCGGGGCTGAGCTGTGCCTGTGCCTGCCGGCTGCGTGCAGAGCATCAGACCCGGGGGCGGGAGCAGGGGGGTGGGGGGGCGCTGGTGATGTCTTGTGCTGTTTTGTTTAGAGGTTTTAATAAATTTTGCTACCAAACACTCCCTGTGCTCTGCCTCGTCTTGTCCTGTCGTGGTCAGTCCCTGCTCCTCCGTCTACTGGGGGAAGGAGATCAAAGAAACTGTCCGTGTCCATTCACCACACTGAGGGGTCCCCAGGGACTTCACTAGGGCCAGGACAGCACCTACAGACCACGAGACCAGACAGCTGCTGGGGCCGCCCAGTCCAACCCGCTCCAGGGCCAGGCTGGGCCCCGCTGCCTGGGCCAAAACGGAGCTGCAGCCATTCCTCTCCCGCTGCCTGGTGAGTCCGGCCTCCCGGCTGGGAGGGAAATGCTGCAGGCGCCGCCTTCCCCACGCACTGCCAGTGCTGGAAAGCAGCCGCCACGTCTATGGCAGCTTTTGCCCCCCACCTTTCCCTCCCAGGGCCCTTGTCTGGCCAGTCACATTACAGCCCCAGCATCAGCCCTTTCCCAGCCTGGGTCTGCCAGAGCAGCCACAAACCCAGCTCTGGGGTCCATCTTGCCAACCCCTGACCTCTGCAAGGCCTCTGGAGCCCCTCTGTTCCCTCCCCCAGGCCCATCCCACCGACAGAAGGAGCTGAGGCCTGCTCTGTTAATGTCTTTATTGCTCACTGCTTTGGGATATAGAAAAGGGGGCACAGGCCCCAGTACAAACCAGGACAATATACAAGGGGGGGGGGGCACAAAACCCCTCCTGCACTTTGGCTCCAGCAGCTGCTTGGCCAGCGGGCATGGGGGCAAGAATGTCCAACGCTGCCCCCAGCCCTGCGGTCACTCCTGGACCAGCCGGGCCTGGTCCCTGGTGCAGCCAAACCGGAGAACCTGGAGGCAGCACCCCCAGCCAGAGCCCCAGGCCCAGACACCAGGCGCCCGTGCGTTCGCGCCCCGAGCCGCCTGGGGCTGGGGCCTGGGCTGGGGGGGCAGCCAGCTCAGCAAAGGCACAGTTGGTTGCAGACTGGGGTCAGCACGGCCGCCTCGGGGCCTCGCGTGCAAAGGGGAAAAGAGCGTCAGGGAAGGAAAGAAGCTTCACATTCACCCCCAGCTAGGCAGGGGTGGGGTGGGGAGCCCTGGGGTGGCAGAGCCGAGAAGGCACGAGGTGGGGCCCAAGCCGGGGAGCCCCCCCCAGCTGCACCCCA